CCTCCCCAACAGAAATGTCTACCATGGTGCTGTCCTAGATCTTAAAATACTGAAGAAAATCAGCCACATGTGCTGCAAACACACTAGTTTAATGACTCACAGGAGACCAGCACTGGCAAGAAATCTGAGGAAAGCATCCATCCATTTTAACAGATATTGTACTCAAATTTGCAAAGTGAAATTAATCAAAACTTAATAAAAATACCACCTAACACACAACACAGCAAAAACATCTGTGGACACCTGTACTGCCCAGGAAATCTGAACTTTAATAGCAGTCTGTTCTGTAAAGGCCCCAACAGCTCTTTTAGATGAAGAGACTGGATTGAGAGCAGCCCTGAGGAGTTGGGGAGTGGCGGTTGACAAGAAGCTCCCCATGACCCAGCAGTGTGCGCTTGCAGTCCAGAAACCAGTGTGCTGGGCTGCATCCCCAGCAGCATGAGCAGCAAGGTGAGGAAGGAGATTCTCTCCCTCCACTGCAGCTCTGGGGCAACACCATGACAGGACATGGAGCTGCTGGAGCAAATCCAGAGGAGGCCACAGGGATGCTGCAAGGGCTGGAGCAGCTCTGCTCTGGAGACAGGCTAAGAGTGCTCAGCTTGTTCCGCCTGGGGAGGCTTAGAAGGCTCTGGGGAGACCTTAGAGCAGTGCCTAATAGGGGGGCTGACAAGAAACCTAGAGAGGGATATTTTACAAGGACACGAAGTGACAGACAAGAGGGAATTTAAACTGACAGAAGGAAGACAGAGATGAGATGCTGGGAAGAAGTTCTTCCCTGTGAAGATGGTGAGGCATTTGCCAGAGAAGCTGTGGCTGCTCCAACCCTGGTAGCGCTCAAGGCCAGGCTGGACAGCGCTTGGCACAACCTGCTCTAGTGGAAGGTGTCCCTGCCCGTGGGAGGCAGTTGGAACTGGATGAGCTTTAAGGTCCCTTCAACACAAACCAGTCCATGATTCTATGAAGAAGTTCACGTCTAACAGCCAAAAGCAGGAGGAAAAGGTCCCTGGCATGGCCCCATTCTTGCCCCTCTATGCACAAGCCCTGGCATGGCTCAGGGGTCGAAGCACACCTGGTCCCACCTACCTGTCCTTACAACCACCTTTTGTCTTCACAGGTTTTCCAAGCCCTGGACCTTGCAGCGAGGCTGCGAGAAGCCCACCACATACGGCTGCTGCCGCCACAGGAGGCAGCGTGGCCCGGGCCGCGGGAGCCCTCACTGCTGGAACGCTTCCCAGGGCAGAGCTTCGGGAATAGTGCTCCCAATACGTTATTCCCTTGGTGGCGGGGGGTAATAAAAAAAGCGCCCTCAAAACAGGCAGCTCTTTGAGACACATGCATTTCCAGAACGTGTACTGCGAGGAGCTAAGGGGATAGAGGGCCCCGCCGCCTTCCCCAGGGCTGTGGTAGCGCTCCTCGGCCTCCGCACACCACGCAACCTCCCCCAAGGACCGACCAGGACTGCGCCCCTCACCCGGCTCCGGCCGCTGCCCCCGGGAGAAGAGGGAAAGCCGAGAAACCCGCGGAACGGCGGGAACAAGGAAGAACCGCTTCAATGAGATAAGGAGGAGGTAGGGCGGAGAGCCAGGACGAGTGAGCGGGAGCCGCCTGAGGCAGCAGCGCGTTTGGCGGCCCCGATGGCCCCGGGCGCCCCCTGGCGTCGCATAGGGCAAAGCTCTGGCTGCGGGATGGTGAGGGCCTGCGCCGGGACCCGTGGTTATGATCGCAGCGCTGTGTTGTGAACAGAGAGAGCACGTTGTGCAGCTTGCAGCGCAGGCACCCGCGGTGCCTTCCTTCCTCCAGAGTTACTCAGGGCCGTGTGCCCAGGAAAAGGGCCTCAGGGACCTTCTGGAGCAAGAAGGGGAAAAGACTTCAGGTCTTCCTCCCCACAAACACTTTTGTGAAAGCACTACTGCCACCTTCAGATGCAGTGTGTCACACACACCCCTAATTCAATAATCCTCTAGTGTTCAGTGAAGCTGCCTCCCCCCCCCACTTTGTCACAAATTCATGAGATGGTACATGAAAATAAAACAGCCAACCACAAATGGGCTTTTGAAAAGTCACCTTCTCACTCTTGGTTTATTCTAGACTTGGGCACAACTATTGTTAGCATCTCCAAACCACACAGCCACATATGCAAACAGATACTAGATTTTCAGATACTCAAAACCCCCAAGGTAATAATATAACAAAAATCAAGTTAAGTGGTAATACAAAAAGCACTTCCTTTAAACTCGGGAAGTTTCACCACACACTTGGTTCAAAAACATATTAAGACACTTGGAGAATTTATTTCTATACTGGAATCAGATCCAGCACATCATACACATCACCTCACAAAAATACAGTAAAAGCCATCCTAAACATAATGAACTTGAATCATGTTGCAGGACCTTTAGGAAGAAGAAAGGAACGCAAAGGTTAATTTGCTATAAAATTCACATGAACAATAGGAAACAAAAACAGAAATCTAATAGAAATAACACTATTAAAGTGTAACAGAAAGCAATGCCATCCTGCAAAGTGAATGAAGGTGGGATAAGGGAAGGCTTCACCCAGCTTTGTCCTGTAAGGCCAGAGGATTTCAGATGTCTCATATCCCTTCCTTATTTGTAGACATAACATGAAGTCAGCGTGCCACTTCATTTTCTATCAACAGGGGAAAAACTATTTGTTCACCACTTGTTTCTTAACAACACGTTGCTTAATAAAAATATCAATGCACCAGAACAAAGTTGTTTAAGGTAATCAATCCTGCCTTTCTGTATTTTCTGTACCTCAAAGAAAAAAGTGCTTCAGACATTGAAAAAGTAGTAGGGCATTCTCACATGAGTAACAGGGATTCTTTCAGACTGAATATGATGATATTTCAGATCTATTTTCTCCCTACCAGTTACTGGTACATAGAAGCTTATCTATATCTATATGTGTGTTTAGTTATATTATAAGCAAAAAAGTTTTACCCAGAGGAATTTTAACGGGGGGGGGGGGGGGGGGGGGGGGGGGGAGGGTTGAGAGGTGGTGGTGATAAAAAGAAAAAAATAAATAAAGGGCCTAAATTGCAGGAAAACAGCTTTTCAAGTGTGGTTCTGTGTGTAAACAGTTGGTCTGCAGGCCAGAGGCCACCATTTATCAGAGACCTGGCCCAAGTAAGACTGAAAAATTTTACCCTGTAATTATACTTCTTGACTTAATTTTAACATTTCAGCCATTTGTGTGTTTGGAAACATTCCGAACGTTACAGTTTTCTGATTAGAAGCACTAGATATGAAAGACAAAAGTTTGCTTTTAAACTTCACTGTATTTAAAATAAAAGAGCAACTTCTATACAAAGCACTTTCACACAAAGCAAGTTATATTCTGCATTTGTTTGTCTAAAATAAGTTTAACAAAGCAAGTTATATTCTGCCTTTGTTCGTCTAAAATAGGTTTAACAAAGCAAGTTACTCTGGCACATTCTGTAGGTAATTCCATACACAAAAGAACTTTGTATTTAAGGAAATTTAAGTGTAGAAGGGACAGCAGAAAGTTTTGCGGAGTACTTAATTAGATGGAATAGCTGCCAGCATTACATGTTCTGTTCTCAATCTATATAAGGAATTTAAAGAGATGAAGTAGACTGTGCCCATAGAAGAAAACCATAGAAGAAAAGTACATTTTCTGTAAAATCCAGAGGGGTAGGAATACTGGTTTACAGCAGCACATGCTATCTGCTTAACTTAGAACTGTTAAACGTGTCATCAGAACAGAAAATTTAGTGGAGCATCACCCAGGCTATTAAAGAACATGGAAAGCACTGCAGTGGTGCAGCAGCAGACAAACAAACGAACAAAAACCAAACACACAGGCAAAAAAAAAACAAAAAAAACCAACCACAAGATAATTCTACATCATCGCAGCAAAAGCGACAAAATTACTACCCTTTTTACCTCCATCGCTCTTGTAAGTTAGTAGCTACTGATGGTAATTCCTGTGGCACAGGGCTCCATATGATCAGAAACCTTTTTCAAATGCACATGAGAGCTATTAAGCCACCTGCAAATGATGCAGAAGCAACAGCACTTTACAAAACCTAATTAACACGAGGCCTAAAAGCTGTATTTGTGATCCACAAAACTGGATTTCAAAAGTGAAGTGTTAACAGACTTTTCAAAAGTTCACTTCTACCAGATATTTATAGAAGGCACATTTGGCAAAAGCAGTATTTTTTAATTTTTATTTCAGCTTTTACAGAGATTAATACAGTGCACCACAGCCTTATATAAACGCCCATCTTTTCTAGACAGGTATCATTCAAATTCATCAAGATTTTATTCAGACCAAGTCCACTACTTATGGCAGAGTAAAACACTTCAACCTTAAGAGCCTTGTTCCCTAATTTTTTGTGATCATTGTCTTAAATAAGCATATCCAGCTTAAGCCTCTGAAAACAGAACTTCTTTCATGTAGAAAAATCACAGTACACACCTAAATAATCAGAGAAACTCCTTAACAATCATGGTACCTTCTTAAAGAAGAAACAGTAATTAACAAACAGATCAACAATTAAAATCCCAGGTCCTGAATCTGTGTTTTGCACGTGGAATTTAAGCCTTAAGACAAGGCTGAGGTTTGTTTATGCTTTATCAGTTGACTTGCGTAAATGTACAAGGAAGTCTTCCAAGGCTATAACTAAGGCTCTATGGGCACTTTCACTGTGGTGGAGCAAAGAGAACACCTGATAGATGTCTAGATCAGCAGTAAAAAAATCCCAACCAATCGAAAAACACTGAACAAGTACCTATTAATAATTCCTGTATGAACGTCTTTACTGTAGAGTAGAGGTGTGACTAGAATTGAAACTGGAAATTCAGGTACTAGGTTGAATCACCATTAACGCATGATAACCTGAGTTGTCCATTTGATAAAGTAGCCTCCAAAAAGGATGAAGCCTCTAGGTTTGGTTCTCTTTCAACTAAGAAAGTTTTAAATCAAATTTTAGTGCTCATGACAGCACTAAAGTCAAAGAGGGGCACTTGTCCCAGAGGCAAGCAGCTCCCTGCCAGTTTGCAAACAGTGCTGTTACAAAAGCATCAGCGCCAAGCATGAGACTATCTAGTTCTCCATAGATGTTCTCCTCCCTGGCTGAGCTGACTATAAGCAAGCGCACCAGTTTGCAGCATAGTTGAAATGAGATTAACTGAAGAACATCATGAACCTGTTCTACATAAAGCAGAAAGGGAAAACATAGTTGCCATCAACTGGTTCTGCACTGAGTGGCCCTTAAAGATTAAATATAGTTTTTACAGACTTAAGTCGGAATCCCCTCAAGCAAATTCTTACTCAAACAATCTAGCAATAAACATTACTTTTGTTTGGTTTCCAGTGACAGGATGCACAGAAACAACAGAAGTCTCCAAGAAGCTTCAAAAAGGGCTTGTAGAGGTGCTAACCAACTTCATCAATCAATTATCAATGTTTAAGTACTGCCTATAAACGTTTGTAAGACCCAAGAAGAGTACTGCAGTTTGGACAGCTATGATCCACATCCTTTAGGGCATCAATGCAGAAGGGAATTAAGCAGCAGCCAGCTACACACCTGCAAAGCAAAACAGAAACATAATCAATCTCTTTTACCACATGTTACATACATAGGAAGATAAAATTTATTTCCTGCAAAAGCCATCAGGAAAACTGGTGCCTTGAAGCTGTAAGAAGACCACACATGGTTATGGAATCCATCACTAGTGTTCCTGAGCTACTTTAAGGTCATACAGGACTTAATGCAGATGTAGGCTATTCAAACCTTTAGGGCCAGGTACAAGACAGAATGCAACTGCAGCAAAGCTGAGAGCTTTGTCACTCCTTAGAGCTATAAAAGGACATGTAAGAAGAGAAAAATGAAGTGCAAATTGGAATCAACCTACCCCAACAGGAAGAGGCCACCACATGACAGCCAAGTCAAAGCTCCTGAGTCATACGAAAGACGTGTCACTATCATCTGGTTGCAGGAAGGGCAGCACATCTGAACTGGGCGGTCACAAAATACTACTGGTTGCTGCACATACACTGTCTGAACTGTAACTGAGCAGAAAAACATGCTATACTCAATGAGTAAATAAGGAAAAAAAGTTAATCAACTTCCACCATGGTATTTACTAATGCAGAAACACACTGTCTTAAGAATAAAGCTGCATTAAAAAAACTGCAGAGTGGCAAATGATATTACCGATACTAGTGCATACAGAAAGCCAATCATACCCTGGGCTGCATCAAAAGGAGCGTGACCAGAAGGTCGAAGGAGGTGATCCTGCCCCTCTACTCTGCTGTTGTGAGACCGCACCTGGAGTATTGTGTGCAGTTCTGCTGTCCTCAACATAAAAAGGACATGGAACTGTTGGAACAAGTCCAGAGAAGGACCACGAGGATGATCAGGGGATTGGAGTACCTCACGTATGAAGACAGGCTGAGAAAGTTGGGGCTGTTCAGCCTGGAGAAGGCTGCATGGAGATCTCATAGCAGGCTTCCAGTGTCGGAAGGGGGGCTATAGGGATGCTGGAGAGGGACTCTTCATTAGGGACTGTAGTGACAGGACAAGGGGTGACGGGTTAAAACTTAAACAGGGGAAGTTTAGATTGGATATAAGAAGGAAATTCTTTCCTGTTAGGGTTGTGAGGCACTAGAATAGGTTGCCCAGGGAGGCTGTGAATGCTCCATCCCTGGCAGTGTTCAAGACCAGGTTGGACGAGGCCTTGGGTGATATGATTTAGCGTAAGGTGTCCCTGCCCACCGCAGGGGGGTTGGAACTAGATGATCTTAAGGTCCTTTCCAACCCTAATTATTCTATGATTCTATGATTCACAAGAACTCATTCACCTTAATCCCTTCAAAAATATGTCTGGAAGGTGCAGAACAATTCTGAACCACTATCTTTCGTGTTCTGCACAACACTTATTACGCAGCCACTCAACCTCTCCTTAACATGCAGTACAGTTCGAGGCTTACTGGGGTTATGCATTGGTGAAGGCTGTTCCACATACGGGGAAGGGTTCATTCTTTTCCCGTCTGGTTTCTGGCCATATTCTGGGGTAGGATAGGGCTGAGGATAGTTCACATTGATTCCTGTTGTTTCCTCATAAGAAGGTGGTGCAGATGGAACAGGGATGCCACTCGGCACAGACATTGTATCTAAAACATAAGAGAGAAAGATGTAACAGAAGACATTATTTATTGAGGGCAAGTGACAAGTAATTAGGCTGTATTCAGGCAGAAAGTGAGAAGATAGCTAGATTAAAATGTACCTTCACTAGCGTAAATTGTATTGACTGTTAATTCTGACAGTGTTAAGTGTTAATTTTGATATCATTGCTGCTTCCTCCCCTTTTCCTTTACACAGAGTACTTTTTACACTTTCTCCCCACCACTGCTTCTTCCTTTATAAATAAAAAATGCTACAGCAAGGACATCAGGGCATCTTCAGTGGTATACTAAGCTATCTGGCAGTTTCTTCTAATTCTCCAAGAAAAGTATTTCAGATCCTTCTTGTTCTACTGGACAAAATAAAACAATCAAGCAGTATGATAAGCCACATGGTAGCTGCTAACTAACATGAGCCTGGTTTGTGGTGAAGTTCAAATATTTAAGAGACTATTTATCTCTGCTGTAATTTGAAGTAATAATAATAATAAAGTTATATTGAAGAAAAATGAAACCCCATAGCACTAGTGTGAATGAGTAAGAGAAACTGCAAATATGAGGGGGAAGAAAGAAAACAAAGCATGTTAAGAAATAAAAATACCCACAACAATACAACATTACTTTCAAAGCAACAAACTTTCAAACAGCAGTTTACTGAATATATGCAATGTCTTGTGGTACAAGGCATCAGGCATTCTAAACTCAAACATTCTCCCCACTGTTCCTATCACATCTTGGGACACCATTGTACTGCAGGGTTATAACAGGACCTAAACATACCCAACTTAGCTTTCTAAGTTGGTACTCTCTGCTTCAGTTATCTGCAAGGTTCACAGCCCAACTTCCTTTTCTACCTCACAAGATAATGACGCCTCCTCCCAGAGAGGAACCAAAGAGGAATGAGGTTGAGTGCAGACGCAAGCTAATTCAAAGCTGGACATTAAAGATCAAAGTTCAGACCCAGTTAAACTCTCAAGGCCAATCCTTCCCTCACAAGCTATGCTGTTGATTTTTACAATCCAGGAAGTATGCTGTAACTTGGCTGCCCAATATGCAGTGTCACTATAGAGAAGGATAAGGAAAAGAGTAGTGAAGAATCAAGAGAATAACATTGCCCATGAAGACCTTGCTGCTTTTCTGGCCCAGAAGATAAGGGGTGAAGGGGATAAAAATCTCAGCATAAAACCTGGCTAACCCTTAAAATTTTTGAATGGCCTTTGGGGACTTTAGTTCCTGAGTAAATAGAAGATCACAGCTTCTTTCACACTGAAATCAATACACAGTCACAGAAGACAATGGAGGAACAACAGTTAGTGGAGAACCAAGTTGAACTGTTATACAATGACCTAGTACACAACAGTTTCCCCACAGAGTGGCCTGAATAATCCTTTAAAGCTAGAATGATCATTTTATCAGAGACATTATTATTTCAAAGTAGAGAATACTCTTGTGAAACTATGCACCTATAACCACCTTCTCCCAGATTACCTCATTCCATTCTGTTTACATGCGAGGATGATGTCCAGAATTCATTTGCTGTTTTCAGTATATTGCAGTGCTTAAAAGCACCAGTTTACCAACCGATTCAATAAGATTCACCACAGAAATGAACATAGCTATTTTATATCTGCAACTTTTCCACTGTGTATTCTAAAAAATGACCTCTCATCACCCTTTTAAGATATCTGTATAAAACAGCCACCCTGAGGTCAAAGCATCCCAGACTTCTAAATTAACACATGGATCTCCACTATTAGTGAGCTATGAAACAATTGCCCGATAAACCCCTTTTTCTTTCTTTTGGAGTCTTAAAATCTGGCTTTTTGTAGTGTTTAAAATGTACCTCTTTTCACTTATCACCCAATACATACATCACATTCTTCATTCAGAAGAACTGATTTCTTTGGCAGCTAGACTTCTGAGAAGGATCCATCAGCTGAATATAAGCTGACAGTGTCATGAAAGTGGCAAGCACGATGCAGGGGTGCATAAGCAAAACCAGTATCCATAGGGACCTGAAAACGTTCTGCTGCTCTGGGAAAGCCCCCGTGGGAGTACAGTATTTAAGAGACAAAAGGTTAACAGAGTCCAAAGAAAAGCAGCAAGAACAATCACAAAGACTAGAAAAGGAATTCTGGGGAAAAAAAAAAAAACAAAAGAAACAGTTTCCTTAATTACAAAAAAAACAGGGAGAATAATGAAGACAGACAGGTAGCAATGAAAAACTAAAACTCCTGAGAGTAAATTTTAAGAAAAACTGTAAGAGAAACTTTAATAAGCTGTTAATAAGACTGTTTAAGCACTAGATGAATGGGCAAGAGAATTATGAAGCTTTCCCTCCTGAAAGTTTTAAGAACAGATACACATGACAAATTACAGATTGTTCAGCATTAACTGGATTAGAGAGTCACTTCATATCTCTTCCAGCTGTATTTTCCATTGTTTCAACATTTGCTTTTGAAAATAAATGCAATGCCTTTTAATTTTAAAACATCTACTTTTACATATGCTGTTTCAGAAGTGAGATGCTACATCTTCAGAAGAAGGCAAGGCCAAATCCTGAACAACCGCTTGCAAATCAGCCCCCTAGCCCTAGAGCACATTGCAAGACGGGGTCTAGAACTAACTGAAAACCAGCTTCCTCTGCTTACAAAACAAACACACACCCCTAAAAGCCAACTAACCAGGCAACAAACCCCACAACCACACACAAACACAACCAACAACCAACAAACTCCACAACCACAAACAACCCACCCAATGCAACTATAAAAAGTTTCTCGGTATCAAATGTATTCAAGTTTCAGATAAGATACAGCAGTAAATTGATCTGGCAGTAAGCATTAACTCAAGGATTAGATAGTAGTGAGAACAAAGGTGAGAGGGACATTCTAGAAACCATTCTATTTTTTATTACGTAAGACAGCCTGGGTTAGTAAGTAAACTGCGTGTTGTACTTCCCCATGCAATCTCTCAAGGCACTAATAGACTTTCTATGGTTTCCATTTGTACTTTGCTCCTTGCAAACAGGTACAGAGCAACTTATAAAAATACCCCCATAGAGACATTTCTGGGAAGATCAACTAAGAAGTAAAACCTGTTTACAAGGAGAACAAAAGATTAATATTACAAACCAGTCCCAGATCATATAAGAAGTGATACAGGATCTTAAGCATCCATAGGGAAGACTTGAACTTTTAACACCTTAAGAAACTGTACCCACCTACTTACAAACCAGCAATTTATTAACTGAGAGATAGATGGGCACAAAAAAGAAGTTGATAGCAGGAGAAACTGATCCCACAAGTTTTGTCTTCTTAAAGCAGACTCTCAAAAGTTGCTTACAAGTAATCCGAAGGGAAGACTGTTTAGTGACAGCTACCTGACGGCAAGACAAGACAAAGGATAAGAGAGGTGACAGGGAAGTCAAATACACTATAAAGTTACCTGGATGTAGCATGTATTAAAACCATTAGGTACCATTAAAGCCATTGCAAACATTGTAAGACCAACAAGCACACTAGTTGCAAGACCAGGGCTTTAACACTGATATACAAGAAGTTTCCACTTAGATCTGGAAGCTTCAGATCTAAACATTATTAAGCAGATAACTGAGCAATTCTAGATTCTGTTCCCAGATTCTCACTATTCTCTTGCTTCAGGTCTTTGGAAATGCATGTGGTAAGACAAAGACCAATAGCTTCAGCCAGCCCTCCCACATCATTCTGCTCTTCAGAAGAAACCCTCTTGTATTCCAGGTGCACAATGGTAAGGTGGACACTGACTCATGGTGCCCGTGCCCAGCTGCACCCTATCTCTGGGCAGATGAGTCACTGGACTCAATTCATAAAGCAACAAAAGCACCAGCTCCCTCCTCCAGATTTTTATTGTTTGTTCATTTGCTCAAGAGAAAGAATCACAAGCACTTAAAGCTGCAAGCACTTCTCAGCTAAATCATTTCCTCCATCAGCACACATTGGAAAACAAAGCACCCTTCCAGTTCATTCCTTTCTGCAGAGGTCTATTGCTCTACATACAGAGGAAATCTGGCCGGGAGAGAAAAGGCTGTTTAAAGTCATAGCATTCACAGACCACTCTATTCAAATGAAACCAGATTAGTTACTTATGCTAGCTGGAGACACCAGGAAGATAAGCAACAAATCCTACTGACAGAACAATGCATGGATACTGTTCTCTCCAATGGGGAGTGCAGCACAGCTCTATGCCACTTGTACAACTGCACTAAAGCCACATGAATTTTGGGGCATGGAAGCCTTCTGAAACTGTTGAATATTCAGAAAAACTCTGGGTGTGCAGCAGTTTTTGCAGGGGTTTGCATTTTCCAAGATTGTATTTCAGTGAATTTAAACACTGCTCCCACTTTAATTCCTGAATTCTAACTCTATACAGTAATCTGAAACCAGAAGTAGGGTCTGCATTTGCTCCCCAGCCAGAATTGCCAGTCTTAACATGGCAAAAGAAGTTGCAGCCTGTACCTGAAAACGAATACAAATATATATTTATACATAAATATATCTATATATTTGTACTATACATCTGTAGAAAAGCCACAGCACCTGACTAAACTTTCCTTTCATCTTGCTATTGGAAAAAATGAATTATGTGAATCAGAATTTCTAACATATCTGAAGAACTTACCAACCAAATTCTTATCGCCTTCTATCATCATGGGCTTCAGGGTTTGTATCTGACTACAGTCATCCGAGATAAAACTGATTTGAAACTAGCAGCACGCTCAGCAGCAGCTACAAACTCAAGAACTCAGCAGGGTTGAGTCTCAGACAAGACGACTGCCCAATAGTGTTTGTGTATTTAATTAAAATATAGACTATGACCTACATAGTTTTTTTAAATAGCTGCATAGCATTCCTCAGGAGACCCTCCCACAACATGGGTTTGCAAAAAGCTGGGCAGTTTCTTCAGAATGCTAACTGAAATATCAAACTAAAGAACCTACTATAAATGAGCAAGACTCTTACACTGACCTTCATCAAGATACATTACAGGGAAAATACGAATATACGTTTATTGTAGTCCAGAAGCTACTCAGGTCTTACTTAAAGTGCTTAAAACAACAGGCTGTCCTGTCATAACCTATACCTGCTACATCTGCCAGGTAAGACACATTCACATGTTAACTTAATGCTACCATCAGCTGTAGGAAGGGAAACGTATTCAAGATTCCCTTTCTCCCAAGGGGCAGATTTACTGTAAGAAGATTAGGGTGCCATGTTCTGTGTCATGCTCCCAAGTACAGAGACAGACAAAGCTAAAGGGCTGCAGTCATCTCGCCCCTTCCTCCTCACACTCCACTCCTGATGCAGACCAGTTAGGGGCAGAGTCTGGCTCACATGCCTTTCAGGCATCTTCACGTTGTGATAATCTCAAATTGTCCTCTCCACACCCAAAACCGAACACATGTTTATTAGCATTTTCTCACCATAGGATGCATCCCCCGTCTTACAAAAAATTATATTGCCCAGATGGCCATGTTAATATTATGCAGTTTAAAACTGCAGCCTTCTTCTGAAGACGGGATGCAAATGTGTATTCTTCAGAATGCAGAAAAATACCTTTTGCTCAAGGACAAATGGAAAAAAGGAAAAAGAAAAAAGAGGAGGAACAAGTCAAAAGTGGAAATGTAAGTCAAGTCATTCATGCCTCACCCAACAAGTACAGATGAATCATTAGGCAATATTTTTTTTAATCCCAGCTGGTTTCCTGACCTGCACGAGAGTCTAGGAGAAATGGATTCCACAGCAGCACAGAGGTAGCATCAACAGCACCTCAAGGATACCTGTGGGTAGATAATCTCTGCCCCTTATCAGGAGGCAAAGGAAAGAGGTCTGTACAGTCCCTCCCACTAACACAGCATGTGAGGAGAAACTTATGCACAGATGAGTTGCTCCTGGGAGGCTGGAGGAAAAGTACGGAGTTATCCCTCTCTCCCTGTCCAGCCAAATCTGAGCCTGGCACCTGCTTTTAGTGCAATAGTGAGTACTGCTCTTCCACAAATGGAAGAGCAAGTACACTTACTACCTTACAAAACAGTTTTCCTTATCTGAATTCCTTGTTAGCCACTCAGGTATAGACCAAGAATCATAGAATCATAGAATAGTTAGGGTTGGAAAGGACCTTAAGATCATCTAGTTCCAATACTCTGCTTGCTTGTAAATGGGCTCCCCTTAAGCTAAATAATTACATCCCTATTTCCTGAAATTCTTCCAAAACAACCTTGAGTATAAAGAAAATATAAATTTTAGCTTAAATCAGAATGTATGTCTGTCATGAGACATTTTTATAAAATACAAGCATAGTTAGCTCTATGAAAATTTGAACTAGGAACATTTTCATTATTTGGCATGGATTTGTAACCTGGTTTTGATCAAAATAAATTTATAGCCTTAAACCAGTGCAACAGAAAATGTCCTAAATAAATCTAAGACTATTTTTACCAAAAGAAAGATCCCACTTGCAACTTCAGCTGCCTGTCACCACTACAGAGCAAGTTTTAATCAGTTCCTTTGTCTCCCCGGCCACACAATAGCATAAACACGAGTTTGTTACAAGAGAAGATGGCAACAACATTCGTGCAAAGGAGTGTAAGCAGATCATGAAACCAGACCCAACATCTCAGACCATCTGGTTTTATATTCATAGAGCATCATTCCAAACCTCAGAATCAATACATACCCACTCACAGCAGGAAAAAGGACATTTCCATTACACATATTTATTCGAGGACTTAGAAAAGTAAGTACACAGTTTATTTTTACCTTTCACTATAAGGAATGTTGTTGAATGTCAGTTTATCTGAACATATTACATTAAATTGACTTCTAGAGATTTGTTACTTTCTAGAGATTTGTTACTTTTTGTAGCAAAGGTGCCAGGCAGGACAAGAACAAGAAAAAGCCTGCATCTTGCTACTCAAATGATGAACAATTATCATCAAGAAAGCAAACTTTTTATAAGATCACAAGGAGAGATTATTTTCTCAATTAGCAGTTTTCATTTTTTCAGGACTTTTATTGAATGGTATGTATCTTGGATGAAAAGAAACAAGACATATGTAAATTCAATCATTCACATTTGGGTACAAGACAGCAGATCTCAAGCAGGGACGTACTAGCTTCTACCCAGGACAAAGACACAGTGCTGAGCACCACCTGTTTGAAGCACAGCAGAGGAGCTGGCAGGAGAAACAGAGCTGGAAGAAGGCTGCAAAACTGTGTGGCATGTGAGGGGCTTCAGCTGAGCAAGGGAGCAGGCACCAAGAGCAAAACCCAAAGATGTGCATGGCTGCCAGGAGCACAAGAGCCAAGCCACTGTCTCCCTGCCATTGCCATCCAGCCCTGAAAACCTGAAGCTCGTCTAAAACTCCTGCCAGATTCTTGACCTTTTCTGCTCTATTCCCAGCCCAGCCATCTTCTGGCTATAACATCATTCACATGTCCCTGTTGCCCAAGCTTATTCCAAGCACCTCTGCCTCTCAATTTGAAAGCCATTACCTAAGCAGCCTCAAAGCACAGAGTGCATCACAGCCGCTCTGGGTGGGAAGAGAAACACGGGGAAACAAAAGTCCAAAAGTCTCAGGCACCAAGAAAACTTTTAAATAGTCTGACTTACCTGGATTGCCGCACGTTCGTTTCACACGGCAGAAAGTTGCTGGCTATAGACTCTGGGATCTGGTCTTTTCAGTTCAGGAAAACACACACTGGAAATAGCAGCAGAATCTGTAACCAACACACACAAGGATAAACAACAGATTAGTTGGAAGGAAACAGAAGCTACGACTGGACAGTTTTTACTAGAAGCAAACAAAAGGAACAATAAACAAGCAAGATAATAATGCAGAATTTCCCCACTGGGACCATAGATGCTGTTAATAATTCCATAACAAAACCACAAGTAGGAGACACACTTTGGAATAGAAAGCAGTAACAGATACAAAGTCAAAGGGCCTTGAACAACCTCATCTAAGTAGGTCTTAAGCAGGTGGCTGATCCAAATGACCTCCAGAAATACCCCATCCAACCTAAATTCTCTATTAGTAACACAGAAAACAGAAGTTACTCTACTAGAAAAAGGTGCCAAAAGTTCAGTTTCAGTTTTACCCATATACCAAATACCAAGTTATGAAAAAAACAATGCAAAAGATACCAGTCACGCTTCCAGTTTGGTTCAGGTCAGAAGCACTAATTTATCCCAAGTACAGACACCACAGGCAGCAGCAATAGGAACTGCATGGCTATTAAATACTCTTGCCCCAAGTACTGTTGTACCCATAGTGGAATACAGACTTGGCATCAGTGTCTTGATATCAAAGGAAAGCTGGGTTTTACCAGTGGACCTGACTTCACAAGACAACGTAAATATGTGTATTTGAGAACACAGGAATTTCAGACCACTTTAAGACAAGTTTGATTTTCTCATTTTTTGTGAGATGCTCTAGCTACATGGTTCCAAACTTGACAATAAGTTTTAGCCTTAACTCATAACCAGTTTCTCTTGTGTCTACATCATCCTTTAAGCATTTCTATACCCTAATGTTTATCTCATATGCTGCTACTACCATAATTTAATCAACTTGAGTTGTCAACCAGTGCCTCCTGCCTGCTGAACCTCTGCTGGTCTTACAAACATCCATGCTGGTCCTCACCACTCATACCTGGATCTGTCCATGTCAACACTGCTGCCCTACAGGGTTTCACATCTTTTCATTTCAATGCCATCCCTAGGAATAATCAACTTCCACCACACACCAGCTGAGCCAGTACAGAGCTCAGTTATGCAGCCAGACACCCCCAGTGCTTCTGTAGCCCCGCTGGACAATTCCTCTGATGGGTCAGTAGCCAGGGCTTACCTCCCTTACGCTATACCTACACACTTGTCTGCTTACCAGACATAATCTAAAATTGCTGTTGGTTCCTGCTCTGGTAAGCTATTGATTCAGCCTTTCCCTCATTTACCATCCAGAAAAAAACTTTCCCTAAAACCTCCAACTACAAGGGCAAGGCTCTGCAGACAGACATCTCCAGACTGCAAACCTCAGAGAAGTATTATTTCTAAGTAACATAAACAAGTTGATTTGTAATCTATGACTGCTCTCTCCAAGCAAGGCAATTCCTGTACATTCCATTGTCATTCTTCAAAGTTTTAAATATGCCTCAGATAGCAGCTCCTGATTTTACACTTTCTCTGACCATGTCTCTCAAGTTAAAGAGCCCTTTCAACACCTGAAAGATCCCTACAGAGAACACCACAATTACAAAGACAACAAGTAAAGAAAAAAAAATCCAGGCTTATGTATCCAACTAGGGATGGAATGATTCTGTCCACCCGAAGTATGGCTAAGACCCAATTCACAAGTCTTCCAACAATGACACAAGCCTCTTCACTTTTCTGGACTGCAGAAAAGTCTCTGGAATACCGCTGATTGCCTTCCTTAAATGACACAGCTTTTATCATGATTTCAGTGACATCTATAAGTATTTTTATATAGAACTTGTCACAAGCATGTTCAGTCCTATGTAACCTGGAAGTGTGATCTGCTACACTGGAAGTCTAGTAATAACATCAGTAAACATCACTAATGTTTATATATTTCAGTAGTCCCATGGTCTTTCCAGTAGACTAAGTGGAAATGCAGAAAGGTTTATTAGAGAGGGAATTGTATACATAGTCCAGTGTGGGTTTTACAGTAGCCACGTAGCTAGGGCAAACACAGGAGCTGGTACGGAAGGACAGTCATGCCTACAGGTGCAGTGTGTACACAGGAACAGTAGTTGTGGTAACCCCACTTCCTTGAAGACAGGCATTGTTCTTGCACACTGTTCCCATGCTCACAACTCAGCTTTGGCAGACTGAAGAGGGAACAAGACAGTAGTCAAAGATGATTAAATTCAGTAAGTTTTCATAACTGTATTTGAAGCCAGTATTTGTATTTGTATCCAGTATTCCACAGCTTTATTTTTAAAAAGCACTGACCTCTTGTTTTCTTTAGAAAAACCAGTTTCCCCTTGTGACTAAATTCAGAGCTGAATGCTGATGCTGCCCCTGGTCCCACTATGCTGGTTCTGGCTGGAGAAGCACAAGTTGTTAGGAGAGGACAGTGCCGGGACAGCTGACACCAACTGCCCAAAGGGATATTCCAGACCGTATGATATCATGCTCACCAATCAAACTAGAGGGAAGCCCCAGGCACTGCTCAGGGACTGGCTGGGCATCAGACCTTTGCTGCTAAGCAGTTGTTTTCATTTGCATTTCTTTCCTTTCATAGGTCTTGTTTCTGTTATTTTTCTTTACAATTATTTTTATTATTTTGATTTACTTCAATTATTAACCTGTTTTTATCTCAACCTATGAGTTTTCTTACTTTCACCCTTCAAATTCTCTTCCCCACCCTCACCAGGAGGGAGCAGGTGAGCAGCTATGTGGTACTTAGCTGCCAGCTGGTGTTAAACCACCACACACAGCTGCTTCTGCTGCACAGACGCTGCTTGGCCAAAGACCATCCTCACCTCTGCTTTGCTGAGGAGCAAGTTCTAAGAAGTCAGCACCTCCTCATAGATTTAAAAGTGTTTGCGATCACAACAACTTTGCACACGAACACATCTAGTCGTGATATTTCACATTCAATCCTTACTTTCAAATGATGTTGCATTTAAAAACACCACTTGCACCACTGACTAGTTTTGGACAGCTGGTTCAATTTTAAAATGAAAGCTATGCTTTTTCACCTTTCCCTATCCTCCTTCCTGAAAGCAGATGCAAGCATGTCTCAGGTCTTCACAGCACTTGGCAGTACCCCTGGCTTGGCAATCGCTTCTCCTGCGCCTTCCTTCTCACCTTTTAACATTTAAATCTGAAGCACAGGTAATATTTACCAAGTACTACAGTGAATGGTATAAAACTAAAACCATGTATCAACCCCTTTAAGTTATCTATTAAAACAGAAATGAAAGTACACGATGACAGCAGGACTACAACACAATCTCTTCAAAATACTGCGTATTGTAGAGGTAACCACAGCTTCAGCTTCTGAACTTAATTTTGCTAGCATTCCTCATGCTTTAAATGTCACCTCTGAAAAAGTATTTGAACTATTCCTTCATACAGCCAGTGCAAACATGCATCTCAATCCTGAGCACTACTTGAAGATTAGCCTGGAGACAAGAGAAAGAAGGTAGTGACCCACCCCTCTGCTTGGTATGAAGAAAAAGAAAAGGAAAAAAAAAAAAGAAAACCCAACAAAAAACCACCTTGGACAAAGCAAACACGTTATTGCCTTTTCCTTACTCTCTTACTAAAGTTTGGCATTTGATTTAATCCATTAAAATTCCTACTCTTGTGTTCTTCACTAGAAATCCGAAGCTGCTCTCTAACACCAGGGGTAATTACAGGGGCTCCCTGCACAGCAGCGTTTGAGGCAGCTGCTGGTCAGCAGCGCCTGGAATCAAACACAGGCTGAAGGCTAATTCTTTTTATCCATCAGGCAGGATATACAGGTTAATCGGAGCACTTGGAATTTTTGCAGCAAGACCTAACAGAGTACTTTGTTAGGCCACTATCCCAGTTATCTGAACTCCAGACGGTAACTCCCTAGTTTAAAATACTATTTCTCAGCAGGCTGGTAAAGCTGTGTAAATTCCGCAGGTGTTCATGAGAGAATAAAATTCAGTAATAATTACCCAAAAGCCCTACGCCATATTGCTATCTTAGGACAGCAATCGGTGCTGCTTGGGTCTCCCTGCCTTTTACACTGACAAAATCGCAATAATCCTGTGAGCGGCTTCAACCCGGGTAGCAGTAATCCCCTCCCCTCCCCGGAGCAGGGCAGGGCCGTTTTCCTAGGTTGGCTCCTCAACGCAATCCCTGCCCACCGTGCGGCTTCCCTCCCGGCTGCCGCCCGCGACGCTGGGGTTTCGCTTCCCTCAGCCCCAGCTCTGGCCCCGCCGCCCACAGCCTCTCCCGGCCCGATTCCCCACCGGCACCGCTGGCTCCTGCAAAGCCCCAGCTTGTCCCCATCGCCCCGGGAGTGCCCCCCCGGTCCCCCCCGGCACGGGCAGTGGCCGGCGCTGCACCCCCCGGAAAGCCTCATACCGCCACCTTCCCTTACACCTCGCGGGTCCCGTCCGGCAGCAGCCCGCCCCCCCCCAGCATCGCCCGTAGCAGCCCCGCGGCCCTCACCGCTCCCAGAGGGCTCCTGACTCTCCTCCTCGCCGCTCAGGTGAAGCCACCGTCCCGCAGGGATTGTCACGTCCCTTCCCGTCCGCACCTTGCCTTCTCCTCCCCTTACCTCGAGGCCGGGGCAGGTGCCGCGGGACCTGCCCCGGGGAACAGCCCGCCTCCCTCCGCTCCCCTAGACCTACCGGCACCGCTCCCGAGCGCCGGTGGCAGGCAAAAGGAAGAGTAGAAAGGTCCGAGGGAAGTACAGCTGTGACCCACGCCCACAGCCGAAACTGGCGTCAGAGCTGCAGGCTTCGCAGCTCCTGAGAGAGGGTCACCCGGGGAAAACAAGCAGTCTTCAACTTCCCCCATCACCGTTGCCAGACTCCACATTTTGTAGGACAGGAGGAAAAGCCCTCCCCTAATCCCACCATACCAGTTACGTGAAACAGGATCAGTTATTTCAGACATGCAAACCCCACATAATGGTTAAAGGAACAGTGATTTTAACTACTGCCTTTACAGGCAATTAGACTGAATTCAGTCTTTGGAAGAAACAGAGTACATCACTCCTTCCTCTATCCGGCCCAACAGCTCGAAGATCAAACAGAAAATTAATTACTGGTCAGACCCCTGGAAAGGATTCAGCAAGGACTGCCTCACCTGCTAGAGTTTAGGTGCACCCGTTTGGCAAGAGCTAGTATTTAGGTTCCTTTGTCTACTTTAGTCTGAAGGAGTCAATAACCCCTGAGGGCTCAGCAGGGATTCTGCGTTGGACCTTCTGGCTGAAAGCATCTAAAATCCGTTAAAATCCTGGTTTTGTGGTTAAATTCTGAGACTTTGCCCTAAATAACTTTTATAAAGCTTCAATTCAAACCCATCCCAGAGCCAGGATTCAGGTTTCATAGGACAAAAGGAGTTCTGTCCCCAAGTGACAATAAGCTCAACAGTGAGCTCTGCAGTCAGTGACCTACTGAATTGCCTGATGGGCACTTAGGGGGTTGGAGTATGAGGGCTCTTGGCATAACATTCCCAGTTCCGTGATTGGAAAGGCTGGGGGGGGGGGGGGGGGTCAAGGTGGAGAGGGGAAAGGGAAGTGGAGTGAGGAAGGAAAGGGGTCGATTCAGCAGCATTCAGTCCTTCCTATGATTTAGCATTTGAACCTGAGAGTGGGAAAAGACTTAGAGGTAAGGTTTTTTTTCATAATCAAGAAGCCTGTGTATTTTGTCATCACACTAATTGCAGAGCACCAGTAGATGTCAGTTTAGCCCCCAAAATGAATGAACACTGGATTTATTAGCTTTTGCTCTTACAATAGTAAGTTTCCACCAAAGACACTAAATGAAATTTCGAAGCTGACACACATTTAAAAGCCTTTAGCTGCATTTTACATAATGGAATATGCCCTCGATGTGTAAAATCAGTAAACTGTAATGTCAGCTTGTTTTTCTCCTGCTTGGAAGTTGTAGAGTTTGCACATGTACAAAGCAAGGGAGGGTGTCATTTTGCATAAACTGATTTTTTGAGGCCAGAAAAGAATTTTTATGAGGTTTGATAGTTTCGGTACTGGAATCTTAAGGAGAGTTGTGCCAGAATGCAGTTTCAGACCACTAATCAATGTACACATACAGATTCAGAGAAAGCAACCCAGATAAAGTCAAATAATATGAAAGAATGTTCGTTACACACAGAGTTGCAATGTTTGATGGGGGGAAGGGAAGGGGACCCAAGCAGCAGTACCACCTAGAAGAGTAACACTTCCAAACATTTTGGAAGATTTATGTTTTAATGAGCCAAACCACACCAAAAATCCAAATTTACCATTTCTACATAATTCACTGCTGCAAGCATCAATTGGTTAAAGAAAACCTACCTCAAAGACCCAAGGGCATGAACTTCCAAATGGAATCAATACTGATGAAGAAAAACTTGTTTGCATTTACAGTGTCAGGTGGTGCTCCATCAAAATTCAGCTGCTGCCCATGGGAATGCCAACTGCCTGAGAAAGCAGATCTTGAAGTCTGATTTAAATGGTATAGTTTAGTACAGATTTAGCTAATCCTACATCTTATAACATGTCTAACTGGAGAGCTAATAATCCCATCTGATGTAAGAAATAATGCATCAATTAAAAACAAAACAAAACCCCTATACCACCACAAACCAGTAGTACCACTTGCTATCATGTTATTTGATTTCTAGTGACTTGGGTCAAACTTTTTAACCAACAATAAAATACACAACTGTCAGTACCACAAGTATAAATCAATATTGTATTCTACAGGTCCAAATGAAGATGTTCTGTGGCCTCACCATCTAACAGTGGCTGATCTTCAAAGGAGATTTTTTTCTCTCTGACTAGCCAAGCAACCATGTGACACAACCTGTGAGGTTCACACTCCAAGCCTCAAGGCTGAAAACAAGATACATGTTCCACATTTCAGTGTAAAGTGTGTGTTCACATTGCTGAGATGCCCTAAAAACATCGGTAATACTTGGATGTCATGAGCTGGGCACACCATTTGCCAGGTGAGATTCAGTTCAGTAATTCCTTCATAATAGATGGGAGCATAAAACCAGGAATTTTGTCTCTTTGAGAAAAGCCTCCCTGTTGGGGTGTTAGCTGCACTTGGACACCAGACCACTGAAGGGAGGGAAGATATGAACCTCTGAGACTGTCTGCTGACAAAAGAAAATCACATGCTAGCCACAGCAGCAGACACACACCCTTTGAGAGGCACTAGGACTTGACAAAGGTGGCGTTTGCATACATACTGTATGTAGCCACAAAACTCAATTAGAATATCCCTACTGAAGTACCAACAGCACCCTTATTAGCACCCAGTAATTATAAGTTAACTTTAGTGCAGGGAAAACTAATTTCCACTTCTGCGTGTTCCTCTCCAAGCCTGTTGGGTGGAGAAGCAACAGCTAAAGGAACCTGAACAAAAAAAAAAAAAATGACTTAAACAAAAACCTCAAGATTTTGTTGAGTTCAGGGTTAATGGTTTCAGCAGCTTCCAAATCCACACTATAGTAACTTCAGCACTTTGATTGTACTATGCAGACAGCTTCACTTTCATTCTTTAAGCTACTTTCAACAGTGAGTGCACATAAAAATGTCTGCAGTAATTAAGACTAAGTACTGCCATAATATACTTCCTCTCATGTACTACTACAGAAATACTAATAGCAAAATACTTTGGAGATATAACAATGCAATTATTAACAGCTTGTAGAGACAGACATAGGCAATACTTGCTTCTTGGGCGAGCACTGGTCCTGTTCAGCATAAATAATTATATTGACACATCTAGTTTTTCAAGAATTTGATATTATAAGTGCCAAATTCATTTGAAAGTATGGTCCAGTTTGATTGGGTGAGCAAGAGCAGAGCCTGAGTTTTCATGTTGCCAGGACATGGATTACTTTGAATGCTGGTTTCCAAACACTTGGGCTTTGAAAAAAAGATGTGATGGGGGCTGTGTAATGTTGATCTGGGAGTTAATAACTTCAACTTAAGTTCTCTCCAAATAAATTCTGTGTGTGATGGGGGGGGGGGAACGGGGCAAGAGAGGGAGAACAGAATGCCCCCAAATACTCCCTCCCTTTCAGAAGTTACTTTCTGAAGATAAATACTCCACGACTAACAGCATCATTGCTCTCATTCATGTATCAAAACAAAACTATTGCTCCACATCAATATGGAACTGGTAGAGAAAACAAAACAAAAAAAACCCTTGTGACAAATAAATGACTGTCAGCTCCCAGGCACATGTTATCTTACATAAAACCATCTTCTTTCTCAGTTCCCACTTTTTTTCAGTGTCTTTTACACTTTCCCTGGTGATCTCCCCCCCAGTGTTGGAAAACAATGGAATGAAAAGGGTGAATTCTGAAAAAGTTTTGAGCTTTCCAATTGCTCTCTGGTCTCCTCACCCTAACACCTCCCTTCACACGAGCCACTCGGACACTTCTGCTGGTGCTGTCTGGTGAGGCTGAGTTTTTCCTGGCTGCAGCTGCCAATTTACTGATACCTTGGCAGGTCAGGAACTCCTTACCCTAGAAGCTGTCTGTGAAGCTGGTGAATGCATGGAGGTGGGCTTCCCTGCCTCCACAGAGCAGGGACAGAAACGAACCCCCTTCCCAGCGAGGCCAACTCTTAGTTCAAGGTACTGCAACAACTCTTCTGGGCACTAAATATTTGCCATCATCTTTCCCAAGCATGCATCCTCCTCACTATATGTGCCTTGCTTAGAATGCCCATTAAAGAAAAAAGGACGTATTTCTTTCATCTGCAAGTTGGCAATATGTTTGTGGAAGATTAGAATATGAATGGATTTATTACATGAAACAGAAGTAGCATATCGAGTCTGAAACTGCAAATGATCCCCCAGGATTGCAGTTGGTTCACAGCACTGCTAAATGAATCGAATCCAAACCTAAATATTAACACTTAACTGTTTTTCTTTTACTATTCCTTCCTTCTTAATTGCCAACTCCCATAGTGTTATTTGATCATCATAACAGCTAGTAACAGCTGCCAAATTGCAAAAGACTGTTTGACACTATAGCAAAACATTTAAGTATGTAAATCATATCATCTCCCCTAGAGAACAACACAGCAGTGTCAAAAGAGTCAATGATAGATTTATTTTACCCAGAACACTTGGCACTACATAAAAAGAATTACAAGGAGAATAGCCATTTATTGCCAGTAATGGTTCTCCTAGTATTAACAATCAAAAAGAAATAGCTATAATAGAAAAGTTTTCCATTTTAAAAAGGCAGATCTGTCCTGATTAAGTGATCATTATTTGATGGATTCTCTAATGCAATCAGAAACCAGAGAAGAAAATTATGGTTCTCCAACCATTACCCTTCAAATTCATATTCCTACTGCCATGACAGGGTGCAGGAAGGAGAAAATTTTAAAACTGAAGCTGCCTGATTATTTTTCATATAGATAGAACTGAAGCATGGTTTGAACTGCTGTGAAATTGCTGAACAAAGCAGTGCAAAAATCCCATCCTCTCACCCTTCCTCCAGAGTAATACCTGACCTACTGTTCAGTCAGGCTGCGGCATGGTCTTGGCTGTGTATTAGCTTTGCTGGCTCATGTTGTATTTGGCCACTGAAGCCACTCACCTAAACCTCACATTTAAGCGTTCTGTT